GAGAGAGAGAGAGAGAGAGACAGACACACGCGAAAGTAATCCTTAGGGCTTCTTTAAAATGTGAAAAATGACGTGTGACACTTGGTGTAAAAAAATATTTTCACGAGATTACAGCATCGGAAATATATTGGACTTTATTTGAAATTACAGGAGTTTAAAAATATAGCGCGTTTGATTCTCCGCTTTGTCCAGTGTTTCGATCGTTCTTGTACTTTCGGTAATAAGTTTTAAGACTCCGTCTTTTTTTATTTCAACTATCAAAATCTTGAAGTTACGATATGTATTTAAAATAAATTTAGGCCTCGTATCTGCTTGGAAGATAGATTAATTATTAAAGTGAAAAGATCCTCCTACCGAGTAAAGGACATATTTTTATTGTAGGAAACCAGTTCTGGAAAACCAGTTGCTAAGTACAAGGTTAAATTTATAAATGTACTAACACTTTCGCTCCACTTCAATTTCCATAAATAATCACAAATATTTGTGCAGCTGCGTTTTATCAACATTTTTGGCATATCCTCGCTTTCGACGATCACTCATAACGGAAAAAGTATGAGAGTGATCAAATAGTGATGTGTTAAAAGCCAAAGGAAACAAAACCTAGGAGAATAGTTGAAAAAGAAAAGAAAGGAAAATTTCCATCTTTTAAATTATATTTTTTGTTTGTTAGTTATTAATATTACATTACAACATATATTGATTTATTTATAATACATATTAATCTTCGTTCTTTTAAATATATTGATATGTTTTAACTTCCATTGGATTATTATGCGTATCACGAAGAAAACTTCATTCAAACTTATTTATCCATAAATTATGGAATTTTTACGTCGCTGTTGTGGAACAGACTACACTTGAATGTATTGCTGTAACATTTACAAATGTGGCTGTAACATTTACAAATTTACAAATAGTGGCGATGGATAAAGCTGTATCTTACAGCTTTATCCATCGCCACTATTTCTACAAAAATATGCTTCTTTTACGAAGACTAACAGGAAAAAGTCGCATGAAGATATATTACGTGGCAAAACCGGTTATTCTACGGGATTATCCTATAGTCTGAAGCGTTAAACTTGTTAATATCGTAATCCTACGATAAGACGGATGATTTAAGAGGGAATAAAGCAAAATCGAATGTTTCAGGAATAGAGTATGTCATGTCAAAAATCTAGATAAGTGATTTCTTAATTTCCTTCGAATTACATATTACGAATTACTATTACTATTTCAAGCTTCTCAAGAATTCAAAACTTCTTAGAAACAAATTTATTTTAATTAATTAAGATGAAACTTGAAAAAATAAATATAACTTCTATATTTATTTTTTTAATTTAAAGAAAGTTGTGAAACTATATGTTATTTTTGCACGTTGATTTAAGAAGGTAAATAATTTCTCTCTCTTTTACAAATTTGAACTACGTGTAAAAAAGTAAACGTAAAAACCCAAGTGCTTTCCTCATTATATCTTAGCGTCATTGTAGTCAGCCTACGTCATCAAATTACATAGTCAGCTACTTTTCTTTCTGTTACCTACTACAAATTACCGTTAGCTTTCAAGAGCACGAGAATAGATCTATTCTTAAATGCTGGTTTTCCCGAAAAATTCTATAAACTAACCTGCGTAAAAAGAATAACAAAAAATGAAAAAATTAAACGAAATGGAAAAAGCAATGTACAAAGATTTTTAATTAGATTTATGGTAAGATAAATAAATACGATAAGTAAATCGATAAGTAAAATTTACAACAAGATAAATACGATAAATATTTATTTATTAAATACGCTAAATAAATCAATTATTTTGTAAATAGACAGCAAATCTTATTTTTAATCATGAATTTCTATTGCTCAATTATTGTAAAATCTGAAATTATTTATAAAAATTTTTATTGGAAAATTACTTTCATTATTTTTTTCCATTATTATTCTAATATTTTAAAAATATAAATAAATTTCTTGCTCTCTCTTTAATGAAGAAGCCGGTTTCCAATAAATATTCTTTTTTCAAACTAAACGAAGGCGATTATGTTTACTTCGTAATATTCCTTAACGGACGTGTTCATTACATATACGTGTTTATAATATTTGTTTGCATTCCCGTACCGTTTCAAGGTTTTCCATATAAACGTACGAGACATTCAAATTCCTTGAAGACCAGTGTCCTCAATCGCACGGTTAATGTACATCTAAACATTGACGTCATCAGAACTTAAGGTGTTTTCTCGTGGGTATGACTCACACGCGAACCAAGAGTCAAGTTCACAGAGATTAGATGATACGCGGCGCTATTGCAAAATAATGATTGTAACAATCTGGTGTGTTTATTTACCAATCGAGAATGCCAGCAAATGCCGAACTTCCGGTGCTTGGCGATTTTTGCGGGATTTGTTCAAACACAACTGACGAATCGTCCTGTGAATCGTCGCTCTTGCGCTTTACACCCACTCGTCCACCATGCCGACTATCATCGAGTTTCGGTCGATTCCATTCATGCTCGACTCCTCGCCAGTCGAAGTATCGTCCTCGTAGTCAAGAGTCGATAGCATTGACCAGAGGTGCGTTCCATTAGACGCTCACAACGCTCTAAAATCATTTCGTCTTTGTCGTTCGTCAAATGATAGACGAGGACGAATAATAATCACGAGCGTTGTGAGCACCAAGTGGAACCTACCTTGAGCGACAGAGACATCGCACATTTGAATGTATCAACAGGTGTCAAATTGGCGTTCTTTATTTACAAATACCAACTGATTTTCATTCAAAATCAAAATTTTCAAAATCATCTTTGATCATGATATCATAATCACGGCTATTTTGCGTACAATTCATTTCAATCGAGAGCAATCAGAAAGTTATGGAAAGTTACGGAAATTTATAAGTAAAATCTACAGGAATTATTTAAGTTTTTTTTAAAATTAATTTTGATATATAATGTTTATAAGTCTTATTTATCACACATTTACTATAATATTAAATTTAATAATAATTGGATACTATTATCAGAAAAGCAATTTACTAAAAGAGAAATAAATGGTACCAATATGACGATCAATTATTAATTTAATGTCTTAAAACTTAATTTAAATAAGGTCTCTCTTACTTGTTAATTGGAAATATATATAATTAAAAATCTCTCTCTCTCTCTTCTCTCTCTCTC